TCAGAGTAAATCTAACAGTTTAGATTGAATTTTAGTATATTTTATCTAGTTTCTAGTAAAATAAATTACTTAGAGCATCTAGAACAAACTTTTCAAGTTATATGAAAAACGTAAAAAAGTGTCCCGTATTCATATATCACCAATTATCAAAGTATATTACTTCACGTTGCATTTTATATAGATAAATTTTAGTTAAATTAATATATAAATATAAATATATTATATATATATATATATATTAAGTTAAATTAATATATATATATATATATTATACATATAACATATATAAACCATTTTATTTTTGTGCAAAAGTTGTATATTTAAAAACATATTTTCATTTTCAAATATAGCCGAATCCAAGAAAGTAACATATGATTTTTCAAATATATCCTAATTACATTACATTGGTAATTTATTAAATTAACATCATCGTTCACATATATCCATTCCCGCATGTAAATATGAAAAAAAAATGTAAAAAAAATGAAAAAAGATGTAATTATTCAAATTTAAATAGACTTTTATCGTATTCGACAATTACAATGCAAATTGTACAACTGTCGCCTACCCACTTGGAAATAAATGACCATATGAGATAAGTGTTGCTATAATCATGAAACACGCATTTATTTAAATATTTTAAATGGTCACATAAAATATATATATATATATATATATATATATATATATACACAATAAATTTCATAGTTGACCATTATTCCATCTCATCGTCCCATAAAAAAGTCTGCCGTACAAGACCGTTTCGTTTTTTCCTGAAATGAATCATTTTTACTATTTATCAATTTCCGCAATTCTCGAAATAAATCTGTCCACTTGTATTTTTTTCATCTTCGAATTTTTTCCGTATAAAATAAATGCCGTAGACAATATCGGGCATAACTCCGTAACCTAATAAAATGTTTGCGGGCATTTTGGCAAAGTGCCCATTGTTTCATAGTAAAACGATAATAATGGCAGGGCTGGGGTAAAATATTACATGTGTTGTTTACTTTTATGACTTGTATACCGATGTATAAATATGGATTTACTATTGCATGTGATGTAACATGGTTTGGGTAAAAGCTAGTTGAAAGTGGCATTCTGCCTTAAGGCAAGTTGCATGAACTCCCCGAAATGTGTAAGAATTGACTTTTTATTTTTTTTTACCAAATTCCTGCAAAAACACATTTTTTAATATCACACATAATATGCGTGACATGGGCTTCTATAGAATTTATTTCATTTTATCGTCAGACATATAGGCATATCTAATAGAATTTACGTAGATTTTTTAGTGTCAGACATAATGACTGACATGGCGATCAACGTGCTAATAATTCATCAATAAGAATTAATTTGTACAATTCCGAGTAGTAGGAATCAGTTCAAAAACCATTATTATTTTTTTTTTAATTTAACAATTTATGAATTGATGCATCTCTACATAACTGATAGATAGTTAATGTTAATTTTTATAATTTTTTTTTATATTACAATATTTATTACAAACTGTTGAATAATTTAACATCTAGCAATAATGA